TTGCTGACCAAAAGGTTGGCAGTTCAAATCCAGCTTCCTCCAACCTAGCAGTTTGAAAACATGCAAATGTGAGTAGATCAATAGGTACCACTCTGGCGGGAAGGTAGCGGCAGTCCATGCAGTGGCCACATGACCTTTTGAGGTGTCTACGGACAACGCCAGCTCTTTGGCTTAGAAATAGAGATGAGCACCAGAGTCCCTTAATGTCAGGGGAAACTTCTACTTTTACCTTTCTGCACTCTAAGTCATCTCCTGTTTCCGCAGCTAAATAAGGACAGTATTTGTGCAGCCTTTCCCCATGCGTCCCTTTATTCTCCCTGCTGATGAATTGATGCTTAGAGTGGCTGCACATCAGAAACAACACAAAGGCCACAACAACAACAAACAGGGGGTGAAGGAGAAGATGCTCTTGCATTCCCTGCCACTTTCAGCTGCATTCTTCTCCTTGCCCAGTTTGCACGTTTCCCAAGCTATTGTCCTAGGAGTTGGACCCATGTTCCCCCTTCGTTGCCCCACATTTGGGTCTTCTTCTCTGCCTTGCGCTCTGGAGCATAGGGAGCATCTACCCCTGCTTTGTGCCTGTGTTTCTATTGGGGGAGAGACCCAGGTTTGGGATCAAGCGGCAGCCCCTCACCCTTTGTTCAAGGGAGCTTGGGGAGGGGGGGGGAGGGGGGCCGGGGCTCCGAAATGGTAAAATTAAATTTCCCAGATGTTCAGGCCCCAGGAGCTCTCTTGCTGTCTGGAGAGGAAATGGGGATTCGGAAAATCCCGCCTCATATTTTTTCCCCTATCACCTTGCCTTTCCGCTGCCATTAAGTTAAGCAGGAACAGTAAATTAAGGGGGATTCTGCAGCAGGCCCATCTTCCAGGGGGTGCCAAGGAGCGGAGGGGGGTCCCACCACTTTCCGTAGCATCTTTCATAAGCATTTTTGGCTTCATCGGACCCAAGAGTGGCCTGGAATCCACACAGAAAAACCAAGCCAGAAATGCCATTTTCCCCCAATGAGTCTCAGACATCCCACAGTCTTCCTTTATGCCTTTTATGCAAAGGCAAATCAACATAATGCCATTTAATACGGAATTTTCCAGGCTGCCTGGCCATGTTCCAGAAGCATTCTCTCCTGACATTTCGCCTGCATCTATGGCAGGCATCCTCAGAGGTGGTGAGGTCTGTTGGAAACTAGGAAAATTGGGTTTAGATACCTATGGAATAATGTCCAGGGTGGGAGAAAGAAAGAACTCTTGTCTGTTTGAGGCAAGTGTGAATGTTGCAATTGGCCATCTTGATTAGCATTTAATGACCTAGCACCGTGATGGTGAACCTATGACACGTGTGTCAGCACTGACACGAATGGCTATTTTTGATGACACGCGGCCACGTACAAAGAAGTACACCTTATAAGAGCCAATCTACTTCCATCCTTAAATTTGTAAAAGGCTCTACAAATTTAACATCTGCACGTTTGAGCATTGTTCACTCCATAACTCAGCCTGGATTATACGTTTTTATTTATTTATTATTTATTTATTTGGTGCGCTTATATACCGCCAATATCTCAGCCTGTATGGCGACTCATTTTTCTGATTTAAACTATAAATATTGCAAAATTATGGGGCTTTTTTCTTCTCGAAGTTGATACCCCACCCAAGTTATGCTCAGGTTTTTGGCAAATGTTGACACACCAATCTTAAGAGGTTGCCCATCACTGACCTAGCAGTTTCAAGGTCTGGCTTCTTACTGCCTGGGGGAATCTACCTCCAACAGACAAGAGTTCATTCTTTCTCCCACACTGGACATTATTCCATAGATATATCAACCCAATTTTCCTGCTTTCCAACAGACCACACAACTTCTGAGGATGCTTGCCATAGATGTAGGTGAAACGTCAGGAGAGAATGCTTCTGGAACATGGCCACATAGCCTGAGAAACTTACAACAACCCAATTATTCCAGCCATGAAAACCTTCGACAATACATTAACATGAAGTTGTTGTGTGACTTCCAGGAGACCCAAAGGCAGAGCTGTCATGGGGTTTCATAGAATCATAAAAGTTGGAAGAGTTCTTGTAGGCCATCTAGTTCAACCCCTTCTGCCAAGAAGCAGGACAATCACATTCAAAGCACCCTCGACAGATGACCATCCAGCCTCTGTTTAAAATCCTCCATAGAAGGAGCCTCCACCACCTTCCTTGGCAAGGTTTTATCCGAGTGGGTTTGCTTTTAGCCTTCTCTGAGGCTGAGAGAGTGTGACTTGCCCAAAGCACCCAGTAGGTTTCCCAGGCCCATCCAAGGCCCACTGGCTCTCAGGAAATGTTTAGTTGCATTTTAAAGTACACCTTTTGTGTGATTTTATGTATACAATTCTTTTTGAATTGTAAGCCCCCTTGAAGTCCCAAATGTTGGAGAAAGACAGGGAAAAATAAATATAATATAATATGATAATGGATTGTTATGAGATTTCTGTATCTTTGCATTCTGTATCTTTGCATTCTGTATCTTTGCATTTCATGGCAGAAAAAATGAAATGCAAAGATACAGAATGGGGGACAATGCCTGGCTCGAGAGCAGTACGTGTGAAAAAGATCTTGGAGTCCTCGTGGACAACAAGTTAAACATGAGCCAACAATGTGATGTGGCGGCAAAAAAAGCCAATGGGATTTTGGCCTGCATCAAGAGGAGCATAGTGTCTAGATCTAGGGAAGATGCTACCCCTCTATTCTTGGTTAGACCACACCTGGAATATTGTGTCCAATTCTGGGCACCACAATTGAAGAGAGATATTGACAAACTGGAATGTGTCCAGAGGAGGGCGACTAAAATGATCAAGGGTCTGGAGAACAAGCCCTATGAGGAGCGGCTTAAAGAGCTCAGGCATGTTCAGCCTGAAGAAGAGAAGGATGAGAAGAGATATGATAGCCATGTATAAATATGTGAGAGGAAATCATAGGGAGGAGGGAGCAAGCTTGTTTTCTGCTTCCTTGGAGACTAGGACGCGGAACAATGGCTTCAAACTACAAGAGAGGAGATTCCATCTGAACATAGGAAGAACTTCCTGACTGTGAGAGCCGTTCAGCAGTGGAACTCTCTGCCCCGGAGTGTGGTGGAGGCTCCTTCTTTGGAGGCTTTTAAGCAGAGGCTGGATGGCCATCTGTCAGGGGTGATTTGAATGCAATATTCCTGCTTCCTGGCAGAATGGGGTTGGACTGGATGGCCCATGAGGTCTCTTCCAACTCTTTGATTCTATGATTCTATGATTCTATGATTCTGAAATGCAAATGATGTTCCAGCAGCATTTTCTCCTAACATTTCTCCTAACAAGGTAGGTCAGCAAGTTCTGCAGCTCAGCAGTTTGACCTGCTGCGTCACCGGAGACTCCTGTAGTGCATATACACCTGTTAAAACTAAGAGAACAGACTAGAGTAACTTTCATTGCACACTGTACAACTACATTAGATGCCATTCCCAATACACATTATATACTTAGAACCACAAAACGAAACACCCATCCCTTCCACACTCTAATCACTACTGCACAGCCCCTAATGTCACATCAGTGTGAAGCCAAAATAATCAATTGCTCTCAGACAACAACTAAAGGCCAGAACTGGATTTAAGGTTGTGGGGCTGTTGTATTGGGTCACATGTCGGACCCTTCCCATGTGTCTAGGGCTATGTGATGTATTGGTGAATAATGCATGCACATCTGAGTAGGGTGGCCTTTTGCAGCTGGCAGATGGTAATGTGGTCAGCGATTGTGTTTAAGTGCAGGCCAAGGTCTTTAGGCACTGCATCCGGTGTGCCCATCACCACTGGGACCCCCTTGACTGGCTTGTGCCAGAGTCTTTGCAGTTCGATCTTTACATCCTCATATCATGTCAGCATTTCCAGTTGTTTCTCTTCAATCCTGCTGTCACCTGGGATTACAACATTGACAATCCATACTTTGTTTTTTCCCAAGATTGTGAGGTCAGGAGTGTTGTGCTCCAAACCTCTGTCTGTCTGAATCCGGAAGTCCCAGAGTAGCTTGACATGTTCATTCTCTGTAACTTTTTCCGGCTTGGGATCCCACCAGTTCTTTGTGGCAGGCAGATGGTGTTTGTGGCACAGGTTCCATTAAATCATCTGAGCAAAGGTGTTGTGCCTCTGCTTGTAGTCTGTCTGCACAATCTTCTTGCAGCAGCTGAGGATGGGATCTATTGTTTCATCTGCTGGGGATATGATAGCCATGTATAAATATGTGAGAGGGAGCCACAGGGAGGAGGAGGGAGCAAGCTTGTTTTCTGCTTCCCTGGAGACTAGGACGCAATGGAGGAATGGCTTCAAACTACAAGAAAGGAGATTCCACCTGAACATGAGGAAGAACTTCCTGACTGTGAGAGCCGTTCAGCAGTGGAACTCTCTGCCCTGGAGTGTGGTGGAGGCTTCTTCTTTGGAAGCTTTTAAACAGAGGCTGGATGGCCATCTGTCAGGAGTGATTTGAATGCATTATTCCTGCTTCTTGGCAGAATGGGGTTGGACTGGATGGCCCAGGAGGTCTCTTCCAACTCTTTGATTCTATGATTCTATGTTTCCTTGCAGAGTCTACACTTGGGATCTGTCGTCGACTTTTCAATTCTGGCTTTGATAGCATTGGTTCGAATGGCTTGTTCTTGGGCTGCCAGAATCAAGCCCTCCGTCTCCTTTATGTTGTTGTTGTTGTTGTTGTTGTTGTTGTTAGTCGAGACACATGTGATCACCACCCCTAGGTTTTGTTTTGGAGACCAGAGTCTGAGATGCTCCAGGAAATGCATCAGGGTGGCTATGGGTCCGTATCCCTGGGAGAAGTGGCCAGTGATGATGGGGCAAAGTGGCCCTGGAAATGCAGAGGGGAGGGACTCCCAAGTCTGAAATGGGGACAAGGCCAGTTCCACATGAACCCAGGCAGAGGACTGCTTCGGAGGATTCCCTTTTGCAATGCAGTTGTCTAACCTTTTCTTCTTCTCCTTCTCCCATTTTGCAGAGCAAAGACCGAGACAGGAAGACGGCGATACGGAGCTAGGCGGCCATGGACTCAGGAGGGCAGCAGCCGATGCAGAGGAGGAGGAGAAGGAGGAGAGGAAGGCAATGAGAGGAACGGAGAGAGGAAGGAGCCCCCCAGGCAGAACAGCGCTTCCCGGCCTGTGCCCCTCTGGACGGCTGCTGCCCGGCGCTGTGAGCTCCTGCCCCGGATGGACTCAGGGAACTGACTCAGACAGGAAAAGACTGAGCACCTTTGCAGCAGCACGGGGTCGGTTTTGGAAAGACTTTGGGGAGTGGATTCGGTGGGCTTGAACCCTGGAAGGAGGCAAGAGGCTGAAGGACCACGCTCGGCTGGAGGGAGACCCGAGGCGAGGTGGACAGGGCATCAATGTGGACCCTCCTTTGCCCAAAGAGAGGGACGGCTGCAGGTTGCTCCATAAGACTCGCCTTGGCTCCAAACGCCACAGCCGAGGGATTGCTCCCTTGGGGGACGCAGAAGGAAGCGGACTCCTGGCCCGTGCGGGGTCGCTGTCAATACATGCTGGAGTTTCATGTCATTGAAAATAACATAATATAAACCCTCGTTGTTTGTATCATGGGAAGAGTCTGTTGTCCTTGCGAGGGGAGGGTCCATCTTTGGTGGGATGCCTTGCTTATTCTTTTCAGAAAGCTGGTTGCTCCTCTCCAGAACTAGGAAGTGTGTATGTGTGTGTTGTGTGAATGGGGAAGGTAGAAGCACATTGGAGTGCGGTGGGCCCAAGGAGGCCATGAAATGCACAGTAAAGGGGGTGAGGATGAGGGTGAGGATGGGTTGGCATCTGGGGATTTGGCAGTGCAGAGGGGGCATACAGATTGAGCAACTCCCTTGCAGGAGAGAAGGGCAGAGGAAATCACTTCCTAGCAGGAGCCCTGTGTTGTGTCCCAGAGCAGGAACACCTCTGTCCTTAAACACCACATCATCTAATAAAATCAGCAGCAGTTGATGGAAGGATATATGTAAGCAAAGCAATAAAAATGATAGAAAGAGTATAGTCCAAAACAATATTTTCCATAGACAACAAATAGCCCATGAACTTCAAGGTACAAAGGAAAAAACACAAGATCCAAGGATGCAACATCCAAAATAACAAGACAGCATGGAGACTCAATACATAGAACAGGAACCTGGCAGAACTTGACTCATGAAACTAGAAATCCACTTGGAAACAAGTCCATCACGAAAGTTCAACGTTGGCGAGACTGAGCTAAAATCCTTTCACCATCTCATATAAAGCTTTTCCTGTTCTGTGAAACGAAAGGAAAGCATTCCATTTTCCTTTAATTATTTACTATTTATTTACTATATTTGTATACCGCTCTTCTCAGCCCTTGGGCGACTCAGAGTGGTTAACAATAGCAAAATTCAATGCTCAAAAACACAATAAAACAGTAGCATACAGTCAGTATAAATCAATAAAATGTCTCATTAGCGTCTCATAGTTAAAATCGAAATCCTTTACAACCACATAAGGATTTTTTAATCCCTCTTTTCTAGCAGACAGACTGACCTTGAGCAATCTTGAGAACTTTGTCTTAGTTACAACAGTCTTGTCTTCTATCTTCAAACTCGTTAAATTCTGCATCTGACAAATCATCCTCAGAAGACAGTTCCTCTGAGAAAGACTGTTGAGAGCCTCTCCCAGGAATGTGACCTTGTGAATTTTCACGAGACACCTCAGGACTCTCATCTGGGCTTAACTCAGGTCCAGGCAAACCCTCATCCCCATTGTCAACAGAACCAGGACCTCTTTTCTTCTATCTTAAACTCGCTAAATTCTGCATCTGACAAATCATCCTCAGAAGACAGTTCCTCTGAGAAAGACTGTTGAGGGCCTCTCCCAGGAATGTGACCTTGTGAATCTTCACGAGACACCTCGGGACTCTCGTCTGGGCTTAACTCAGGTCCAGGCAAACCCTCATCCCCATTGTCAACAGAACCAGGACCTCTTTTCTTCTATCTTAAACTCGCTAAATTCTGCATCTGACAAATCAACCTCAGAAGACAGTTCCTCTGAGAAAGACTGTTGAGGGCCTCTCCCAGGAATGTGACCTTGTGAATCTTCATGAGACACCTTGGAACTCTCGCCTGGGCTTAACTCAGGCCCAGGCAAACCCTCATCCCCATTGGCAACAGAACCAGGACCAGAAAACCTTTCATCTCCATCATGAACATCAGACACAATCATAGGCTTAACTACAACAGATTAATGCATGGAATTCCCTGCCAAAAAATCAGGGGCTCAGAAAAGCTTTCTTAAAGGACAAATAATTTGCAAAGGAAGGAGAAAGAGGAGGAAGCCGATCCATAGTGACCGACTTTTGCTGCTCAAGAGGCCCTGTATATATGTCCAGAAGCAGTTGAGTTCATATTCCGTCGTTCCCCTGTTAGGAACATTATGCACAAACGGGATCAAGAGGGGCAATTGCCACTCACATAAGAAGAGTATTGGATCACTTAGAAGAGGATAATTCAGACAGAACGTAGTGGGGATGGCGAGTATTTTAAAAGGGGGAATCCCATGCAGGTGTTGCCTTCTTAGTCCAAATGTTGGTCCCTGGAAGCAGGGTCTTCAAATGCCGAACTTCTCCGGAGGCACCCGCTGACATTTTAAGGACATTTCCATGGAACGGGTCCTTCTTCCAAGGATTCCTTCTCCTCCGCCAACTCTCGCCGCCATGATCGACTTCTAGCGAAAGCATTTCCATGACAAATTATTTTTCCAGTGCTTCGCAATTCTCCCAAATATTCGGCACAGCTCGTGCTCCAAAACGTGCTGCTGGAGTTAGATCAGCCCAGTGGGGAGAAGATGATAATAAAGTGTGTATTTCGAAGGAGGATGGGAAGGGTCACCAAGAAGAAGAATTTCCAAAGAGACCGGGACTATGAATAAGCAGGCCAAGGGAAGTAGGGCTCGCCCATGCCTTTTGCAGGAATGGAAACTGTGTTGTTGGACTACAACTCCCACCCACCAAGGCTAACCATAACCATAGTTGAAGCCTGTTGGGAGCCACAGTCCAAGAGCCAAGAATGCACAATTCCCAATCCTGTTTATACACCATCACAGGTTGAACTGCCAGATCCCTAGAAAGGGAGAAGCCACATGGAGCCACGTACCACATTCACCTTTCATATTCTTCTCTGGGCCTCCATCTCTATGCACTTAAAAGTCATACAGAAGAAGAGAAAGCAGAGATAAAGGGGCATTTTGAAGAGCAGATGGAGGAAGTAGTGTCCATGTATATGGACTGGCCCTTCGAGATGTGTTTTATCAGGTGTCAGCATTACAATGGCCAACTTTGCACCAAAATACTCAACCCAAAAAGAATTTCTCAACCTGGGGGGGGGGGGTCAGGATTCCTGGGGGGGTCGCAAGGGGGTGTCTGAGGGGTCACCCAAGACCATCAGAAAACACAGTAATTTCTGTTGGTCATGGGGGTTTTGTGTGGGAAAGTTTGGCCCAATTCTATCGTTGGTGGGGTTCAGAATGCTCTTTGATTGTAGGTTAACTATAAATCCCAGCAACTACGACTCCCAAATGTCAAGGTCTCTTTCCCCCAAACTCCACCAGTTTTCAAATTTGGGTATATTGAGTATTCATACCAAGTTTGGTCCAGATCCATCATTGTTTGAGTCCAGAGTCTCCTCTAGATGTAGGTGAACTACAACTCCAAAACTCAAGGTCAATGACCACCAAATCCTTCCAGTGTTGTCTGTTGGTCATAAGGGTTCTGTGTGGGGGGTTTGACCCAATTCTATTGTTGGTGGAGTTCAGAATGCTCTTTGATGGTAAGTGAACTATAAATCCCCACAACTAGAACTCTCAAATGCCAAGGTCTATTATCCCCAAAATCCACCAGTGTTCACATTTGGGCATATTGAATATTCGTACCAAGTTTGGTCCAGATCCATCATGGTTTGAGACGACAGTGCTTTCTGGATGTAGGTGAACTACAACTCCCAAACTCAAGGTCAACTTTTAGTTTTGGGGCTGTACTTCACCTACATCCAGAGGTTGACAGTAGCAAAATATGAAGTAGCAATGGGAATAATTGTATGCTTGGGGGTCACCACAACATGAAGAACTATATGAAGAGGTCGTGGCAGTAGAAAGGTTGAGAAACACTGCTGTAGGTAATTTGTACGCACAATGTTTTGTAATTTGTATGCACAATTTTTCGCGCATGACACAAAGTTTGTGCACACTGAAAGGTTCTCTCAGCCAGCCAGGGATGTGAGCAATCTCAAAGTCTGGAGCATTTCAGGAGGCAGGAGGAGCGCAACCTTTCCCCTCCGTGGCAGCTGTGGATGTCATCATCCATCACAGGGCAGCAAAGAAGAGGAATTCGTTCCAAACAAAGCCAGAAGAAGACGCAACGGAGGAGCCCTCCTCCTCCTCTGGAAGAAGGAAAGGGCAGCCCACTGCCATTGAGTGCGCAATGCTTTCCATTGACCCGGCTCCAAGTCCCTGTCCTTCTTGGTGGGTCCCTCGGTCTCCATTTCCCTCGGCTCCGCTCTCTTTCCGCTTGAAGTTAAGAAGCAGAGGTGCCTCTGTCACGGATCTGGGGCAAATTAGGGACCCCACAGCAACCTGAGCCTGGACTGTCTCCATCAAGGCAGTATAGGCCTCCCCACTTCCTTCCCACACACATATTGACCCCACTGAGGACTGGGAGAAGGATCCTCTGACAAGCACCCATCTCTCTGTGAAGCCGGGCCAGAGGTTGTTGGTCTACGCCAGGCATGGGCCAACTTTTGGACCCCAACTCCCATCATTCCTAACAGCCTCAGGCCCTTTCCTTTTCCCCCTCAGCCGCTTAAGCATACAATACTCCAGACTTCACTAAACCAGGCATGGGCCAAACAATGACAAAGCCAGTGGACCTGATGGGATCCCTTCTGCCATTCAGTATTATCCATCTGTCAAGAGAGCTTTGACAGATGGACATCCAGCCTAAAAGGGCCCTTCTGTACCAGGCATGGACCAACTTGAGTCCTCCCCCCAGGTGTTTCGGACTCCAACTCCCACCATTCCTAACAGCCTCAGGCCCTTTCCTCCCCCCCCCCCTCCCCGACGCTTAAGCACACAATTACTACCAGACTCACTAAACTAGCGCCCCATAAGCGGCCAAAACAATGCACAAAGCCACGGGATCCTGATGCTGGCATCCCCTTCTCGCCCATTCAGCTACCTAATCCCATTCTGTAAGAGAGCCTTTGACAGATGACGACACCCTACCCGAAAACGCGCGCCCTTCATATACCAGGACATCAGCGCAACAACTCTGAGCCCTCCCCCAGCTACTAGTTTTGGCAACTCCCAACTCCCACCATCCTAACAGCCTACAAATTTTCAACTTCCCATCACACATCAGCCGGGGGGGGGGGGGGGGGGGAGGAAAGGGCCTGAGGCTATTAGGAATGGTGTGAGTTGGAGTCCAAAACACCTGGAGAGCCCAAGTTGGACCATGCCTGTGCTGTGAGTATGTCGTCCACATACTGAAGGATGTTGTCCATGTACTGAAGGAAATGAGGGGGGAAAGGAAGGGTCCTTTGGCT